TTAATAATGCCTGATTTAATGATGACATCGACAATGTTGCCAAGTTTCCCGTTTTTCAAATAATGTAGGAAACTTCGTTTTCTTAAAAAGGAATATTACTTTATTTTTATTGCAATAAATTCGGCGCTCTATTTTTATTGAAACCTCCTGATATCATATCCCTAATTTACACGGTTTCTGAAATATGGCAACAGCCTTTTTGTTCAAAAGTCTGGGAACGGTCAAATATTCCCAGAGCGGCTTGAAATAAAATTACGAAATTTTCTGCAGAGGGGTAATTAATAATGTCCGATTCAATGATGACATGAACAATGATGCCAAGTTTACCAGTTTCCAGATAATGTAGGTAAATTCGTTTTTGTATATAGGAATACCACTTTATTTTCATTGCAATAAAGTCGGCGCTCTATTGTTATTAAAACCTCTTGATATTATGTCTCTATTTTACACGGTTTCTGGAATATTGCAACACAGCCTTTTTGTTGAAAAGTCTAGGAATGGTCAAATTTTAAAAACGATTAAAAGTAGGATTACATTTTTGGGGGACAATTCGAGATTTGAGAAAATATTACCCCAGGAAAATATTTTATCTATCTATCTTAATAATACCGGCAAAAATGTTACTTGAAAAACTGGTGTCGATTATAAATTGATATTTTATACAGGGTGTATCAGGTTTGACTACAAAAGTTTTAACACTTGAAAATATGGCTCCATTTTGAACAAAAAAGGTTTTTACAACATGACGTCCAAACTCAATCATTTTTAAGAAAAAGATCTTTGAAGTTATGACAATTTTTGACAAATAGTTGAAAGTTAAAGAAAATTTTAATCATGATGAGATCAAAAAAAAAATAAAAAAAAATCACTCATTCAATTATCAAGTAATAGATAATGCATTTTTAGTCAACAACAATATCAAAAAATTGAAAAAACACGATACCATTACTAGTAATTCGGTATCTAAACATTTTAGAACATAGCACAAAAAGGAATAGGTGGTTGAAAATAAAATTTTCACAAACGTCGAATATGCAGATACTTGTTAAGGCAGAAGCGTTGCAAAATGCTCATTTAACCGCCAGAATTTACAGGGAAAGACTTCTCAATAGAAGTGCCCGTTTGACATTGATATCAATGTAGTCACGTTGTAAACATTTTTTTAAATTTGAATGTTGCGATAATTCCGAAAATACTAACAATTGATTCATGATTAATAGCCTCAATAGGACAGTCTTAGCTTGAAATACGTCATATTATCTCATGTTGAAATATTAATTTGTACTCATACCTGATACTCCCTGTATTGTTTGACAATTTGTCAAAACAATAACATGAAAGAATTCACGTACGCTAAATAACTAAAAATTTAGATATTCATTTGTTTATTCTCAAGTGGTAGAGGTTATTATCAGATGTGTCAAGTTCCTTCAAAGTTTTGTCAAAATGAATTTCGAACTGAGTGAATCCCAGCGTATCCATATTTTGATATTTGTTGATGCCATTATTGAATTGGGCATCACAATGACTTCTCTTCATCAAATTTTTAATATCCTATTTCAAGCCTTTGTCAAAATACTCCACCGTTCTCGAACTTTTGAACAAAAAATCTGTGTTGCCACATTTCAAAAACCGTTTGAAATGGGAATTTGAAATCAGGAGGTTTCACTTACAATAGAATACCAAAATTGCATTGAAAATAAGGTGGTATTTCTGTTAAAAATAAAAAAAGTTACCTACATTATCTGAAAACCGGTAAACTTGGTAACATTGTCGATGTCATCATTGAATCGGACATCATTAATTACCCATATGCAGAAAATTTCGTAATTCTATTTCAAGCCGCTCTGGAAATATTTGACCGTTCCCAGACTTTTGAACAAAAAGTCTGTGTTGCATATTTCAGAAACCGTGTGGGACAGGGACATGATATTAGGAGGTTTTAATAACAATAGAGCGCCGAATTTATTGCAATGAAAATATAGTGGAATTCCTATTTAAAAAAACGAAGTTATCAACATAATCTGAAAACCGGTGCAATTGGCAACATTGTCGATATCATCATTGAATCGGGCATCATTAATTACCCATATGCAGAAAATTTCGTAATTCTATTCCAAGCCGCTCTGGAAATATTTGACCGTTCCCAGACTTTTGAACAAAAAGTCTGTGTTGCCATATTTCAGAAACCGTTTGAGATAGGGACATGATATCAGGAGGTTTTAATAACAATAGAGCGCCGAATTTATTGCAATGAAAATAAAGTGGTGTTCCTATTTAAAAAAACGGAGTTATCTACATTATCTGAAAACCGGTGAACTTGGCAACATTGTCGATATTATCATTGAATCGGGCATCATTAATTACCCATATGCAGAAAATTTCGTAATTCTATTTCAAGCCGCTCTGGAAATATTTGACCGTTCCCAGACTTTTGAAACACACTGTATATGATCCCAATCATACACTTAAATCAGTTAATAAAAAAACATTGACACAGACGCTCAATCACAAATATTTCAGTCGGTTGTCGCAGATGAATCAATTGCCGGAGAAGAATGGCACACTTATCACCCATTCACTAAATCATTCAATTATAATGATGAAATTGAAATTGTTATTAACCAACAAGATGTTTTTATGGATATATCTCAAGCTGAACTTTACATAGTGGCAACATTAAGTCACGAAACAACTGTAGGTAAAACAGGAAAATGCACTTTGAGTAATAATGTAGGTGCTTTCCTATTTGAATCAGTAGGATATGAATTGAATGGGAGGGAAATTGAAAAAGTTCGCGATCCTGGTTTCACCAGTACAGTTAAGAATTTTCTGACCTTAAATGAATATGAGAGCAAAACGCTCAATACTGCAGGATGGAATTGGCTCTGTGAACCGCTACCAACATTTGTTAAAACCACTGGTGAAGACGGTAATTTTAGTTTACTGATACCTTTACATTACTTTTTTGAAGTATTTGCTGACTACAAGAATGTTATCATGGGAAAGCAGAAAATTAAACTAGTGCGTGCAAGAAATGATGAGAATTGTTACGTGAACGAAGTAGGCAACAAGAAGGCATCAATTACAATTTTGATTGAATCGGCTTTTACTTGGTGGAAATCCATTATCTAATAAAAGATTTTTTAAGTAAATTTTAATACTTATATATTTCCACAATTTTTTTTTTTTGTTAAACTTTTAACATGTTTCGCTAAACTTTAGCTTCATCAGAAAGATTTTAGAAAAATAAAATGTAGACATAAAAGTGAAATTGACAAATATAAAAAAAGGTAAAAGCTGGTCTAATTTTATGTTAATTTAAATAGGTATTACACAGTAAATAAATTTAAAAGTGGTGAATTGTTTAAATCTAATTGGTCGTTCAATAAACAGTCTAAAGTTTTAAGTTTGTTTATTTCTAAAGATTCTAGAAGATTTAATTTTATAGTTGAAATCATGTTGTCGCAGGTAGATAATTCGGTTTCGTTAATTTCGAAAAGCCATGTTTCTCCCAGGCCTGTTTTTGCTTTGATTCGATTACGGCATATACTATCAATTTCCATGACTAATCCGGGTAATGATAGGGATGACCGTTTACTTAGCCACAAACCTTCATTACCCACAATATACAGAAGCGTTTCGTTTTCGTGATCTATAAACAACAACTTGAGCACGGACCAAGTTGGTGGGTAAATCGGATCAATGTTTTTCGATCCATCGATCATTTTATATTCTCCCGACTTCAAACCCCTCCAAGGTATAGGTAATAGCGTAGACCTGAATCTATACCAATTGAGATCTTGCGATCGGAATTTTTCCATGTAATAGAAATCCGATTTGAAACGGAAATGTGGCACCCGTCGAAATTCGACGGAGAGTTTTCGGGGAAAATCGCACATTAAGGCATATTTACAACAAGGCCTAAAGTTGAATTGCATGTTATATTGACAGTTGAGTCGAAGAGGGCGCTTCTGTACTTGGAGCTTTTCAAATTTTGGCGCGTAAATATTCGATTGCAATTTTAACCTCAAAAGTTGAGTTTGATGTGGGGTTTCAAGACAGGCTGTCGCTGACACTTTTAAAAATATTCTCTAAGGGCCACAGAACGGTTTGGAAGATATTTTAACTTATTCATTGTCCATTATTTACATGTAGTCATCTTTCCTTCTACTCAATTTAAGCGGTTTAAAACTATTGACATTTACCGCCAAAATTTGAAACACTCCAAGTTCACTCGCGTCCTCTACAAAATTTTGGGGAACTCAACTGGATATTTGCTGCCATTGAAACGGGGTACCAAAGGTATCGTTCCAAATATTTGCTGCTAGCACGCGCATAAAATAGCGATCGCTTTGATTCACATCTAGCTCTTTTGGCAAAATTATGGGATCGCTAGTCATCATGCCCCTGTAGAGCGACGGTAGGAAAGCTAAACCCTCTTAGGTGTCTAGATTAACGTGTCGCCTTAATATGTACGACAGAAAAAGGTTTTCCAAGTATATAGCTCCCGTTAAATCTGTTTTTTTCACAAAGTCCATCGAAAACTCTGCAATTTTCACGTTCATCTTATCAGGAACGAATAGCAAAACAAGTTGTTTTTGAAGCCAGGTTCTCAGGGAAGTTACTTGTACCAAATCTCGGTTAACCCCAAACTCAATATCTACGCACTGGCGAATAATATTTGTCAATATATAACTGGAGTAGATATAGTTTGTTCGTTCTGCATCCACCACCCGCCGGTGGAGCTTCTTGCACGCTTGCACGCGCCATCTAGGATGGAAATCGGTAACTTGCACCTGGTGCCTGATGCGGCTTGCACGCGCTATCTAGGATGGAATTCGGTAACTTGAACCTGGTACCTGTCTTTTCCTAGTAGGGAAATTACTTATACTAATTCTGTGGCTGCGCCATCTAGAGTCGAGTACCTACACTTTTTGCATACCTCATGTAATGCAATAATTCGATAATTATTTGAAAAATAGACTCCATTATTTTTGGTAAAATTGTAAGTATATTTAATAAATGAAAATCATACAAAAAAAGTAAAAACTAATCTAAGGTGAATCAAACATTCTACGAATCTAGATATAGTAATAAAATTTGATAACTAGAAACACATTTGAGTATTCTCAGGTTTCCCTGGTAGTACCTACTAGTATAATTTCCAACATTGATTCTAAAAATATAAAAAATAATTTTTTTCTGACGATAAAATTTGGAAAAATATTTACTTACATTACCACCCCCAAACTACATTCTGTAAATTCATAAATAGCTGCCGGTGAAGGTTTTCCAACACTTTTCCCTCCCTTATAGATCAAGCCTGAACAGCCATCGTTTATTTTTTTAATTTCATCCTCCGTTAAGTCGTATCTTCTGGGTAGGAAAATTGACTTTTCTCCTTCCAGCTCTACCAAAATCGAGGGTCCAAATTTTGTTTCCATTCTAGTAACATTAAGGATTCTATAGGTTTTTCCAATTTCAAGTTCTTCTTTTTTTACACAGTCCTTTAAAGTATATTTTGTGTTAATTGCTTGTATCGACATTGTAATTTTATGACTTGGAATCTAAAAAATAAATTTTTTTCAAGAAAATTGGAATAGAGAAATAAGAGTGCGAATGTTTCTAAAACTCAGTGAAGTTATTAATTTTTTCCTTAAAACTATAAATGCTATGTTCAAAATTAACTTTTTCAAAAACTCTAGGATCTTACCTTTACCCGCAGTCATAAGCACTGATCTCAAAAATAAATGGATAAACAAAGAACGCTTCTAATGCTGCTAATTTACGAGGTCAAAATCTAAACAAAAACAATTGACTGGGACAGCTGTGAGCGTGCGCAGTGGATACATGTATTGTGCGTGCACAAAATCTGGCCAATGAAAATAGAGCAATTTCAAAATTTAGAACAGGTGTTCCAAAGATATGACACTGCGCAGGCGTTAGGCTGTTCCGTTGCACAACTGTTCGTAGAATATTGACCCCAAATTTTCGCACAAATTTTGCCAATCAAGCCCTATGAATTGTTTATCCATTTATTTTTTAAATCAGTGGTCATAAGACACTGAAATCAACTGAATTCAATTCATTTTCTCAAACACAATTTATACAAAAACGAATACAACGCAAACACTATTTATACAAAAACGAATACACACACCCATCAACAGGCACCCAGATGTGATGCAATAGACAGTGAAAAATCTACATCTTAGAAATCACGCAATATAATTATTTATTTTGTCTAATATCAATAAACAACATTTGAAATTGTTAAGGTGTAGTAAAGTGTCAATTTTCAACCTCGTTTTATATTATTCATCATTTAAATGGGATTATTTTCCATGCATCGCCAATGCATTCGTAAACTTACGTAACGATTTATAAGTTGTCAACTATGCATCTGATTTACTGTTGAAAGGTATGCAAGTTATAGGTTTTGCTATTTTACGGGTAAAACAACTTGTAGTTAAAAGTAATTGATGCAGTGAAAAAGCGGTAGTGGTGGCGGAGGTGAAATATCAAAACTCATGGTAGGCTAGGATAATATTCAGTATAAAATCGCAACTGCTAAAACAGTTAACACTTGCTTAGTTTTATGTCGAATTAAATTTCAAAACCGTAAGTAGTATTCAACACTATCATTAAAGTGATCAATTATTAATTTTAGTTTTTCTTTTTCAGAAAATAATGTTTACCTGTAAATTCTGCACTAAATTGTTCACCAGAAAGGATAGTTTAAAGCGTCACGACGACTGTAGGTCTGTTAGGTATCAAGATCTGCGATCAATGCGGAGTGATTTTTAAATCAGAGGGATCCCTTCAGCGACATATGAATGAAAAACACTCAGTTCCAAAGATCACCCAAAGGAAGACTGAAGATCTAGTAATACCAATGGTCAAGCGAGCTAGACAAGATAATGGTGGTATGTTTTTATTTTGAGAACATTTTGTTTTTAATTTGATTAAATTTGATTTGTTAGATCCGACCACGTCATCTACGCAACAGTGTAATGATTGCGATATGGAGATTCCGATCAGAGGATGGGCTGGTCATCTGCGTAGCCTCCAAAACCGGGCAAACAACTGTGTGGAGCACGCAGATGGAGTACAGCTCGTAAAAACGTCTTTCAAGAACCGAATTGCTACATATCGACTTATTTCAAAACAGAACCCTACCAGCGTGAAAGAATTTTTAACAAATTTGAAACAAAAATTTATCAAGCTGGTAGGGGATAATGTCCAAAAATTCGACCATATTAAAGTAGGTGTGGAGCTTTTTGGTCGCTTCCTCCTGCAGACAAAGGATATGGAGGAGGTCAAGTCGTTTAACACAAAATTCCAGCTGGTGAGCGATAGCACCGATTTAGACGAGGTATTTCAGCAATTTTCAGCCATCATAGAGAAAAAATGTGTGAAATTTCAGGAGAAAGAAAGCGGTATGTTTTTTTTATAAACTGTTAAATGCTGAACAATCTGTCTTACAGGCTGGGCACTGCAAGAACTACTTCATTTAGATGTAGGGATAAATAAGACCAACCCTTTACAAGCATCGTCTTATCTGCCGCTACCGCAAGTGATCGACGCTAAGAAAGCTGTCCTAAATATTCAAAATAAGGACCAAAAATGTTTCTTGTGGTCGGTCTTGGCTTACCGGCACCCAGTTGATCGAACTCAGAATGCGAATAGAGTCTTATGGGATTGGCAAGCTTTCGCGTATAGGAATATTTTTTAAAAAATAAACGGGCATCATTTTATATGAATAGACGTCGAGTAAAAGATACTTTTATTCTAACGATAATCGAGCTTCAACAGAAAATAGATAAAAAGTGAATATTTTCATAATGGAGACAACTGAATTGCCGCAGGTAAATCTAGTGATTTTTTTGCTAATTTAATCAAATAAGTTGATAACTACCCATTCCTTTATCTCAAAACAATTAGTTCTAGTGATTATTGTGTTAACTTAGCCTAATGAGTAAATCATTCATTATATTTCAGACAAAATTATGTCGTGTGACACAATTCATCAAATTATTTGTGCGGACATACGGAAACACGTTCAATGAAACATGCCCTAACAATGAAGAAGGTTTATCGTATGAAGAATATAGAGATGGCATTGTAGAACTATGTTTCGAGTGTGCAAAACCAGTTTATCCGTTGGATCAACTAGAAAAAATCGACCAACACAAAATAATTGAAAAGGACGAGAAAATAGGTAATTCTGAGCTATTCTGTGTCGAATGTGATAGAGATTTGTTGAGATTTGTTAAACCTGACGAGTGTGAATTTTGTACCAAGAATAAAGTATAATGTCAATCATATATGATTTCATTTATTAAATAGACTTACAATTTTACCAAAAATAATGGAGTCTATTTTCAAATATATCGAATATTGCATCACATGCAAAAAGTTCAGGTACTCGACTCTAGATGGCGCAGCAGGTTCATACACCATGTGGTGAAAATTATTACAAGTAATTTCCCTACTAGGAAAAGACAGGTACCAGGTTCAAGTTACCGGATTCCATCCTAGATAACGCGTGCAAGCCGCATCACGCACCAGGTGCAAGTTACCGATTCCCATCCTAGATGGCGCAGTAGTAGTAACGGGGTCACCTGAGCCTGGGAACTTTTTCGATACCGTGGGAAAATCTCTAGATCGGCGGCGCGTGCAAGCGTGCAAGAAGCTCCAGCCGGCGGCTAATGAAAAAAGTCAGTTTCTACTTACGCTCGGAACTAGCAATTAACAAGTACCGTACCGAACATGTCTGCAAGTTTTCCGTGGCCCCCAGCTTCGGCCGTCCCTGACGGCTATACGGTGGCGGTATGTTTCCTTTTGCCGCCACCAGCAGCAGAGGCGAAAAAGTCCAGGCGGCGCAGAGGCCGCCGCAACCATCAACGGGCCGCCGGTATTGCAGCAGCCAGCCAGGTGCTGCAAAATAACGAGTGGCCTGACGAGCCGCCCACCGTACCATACTTCACGCCGGCAGATTGGTGCGACGATTGGGACGAGCCCGTCCCAGTCCCAGAGGCCACGGAGGCCACAGAGGTGCAAGAAGACGAAGACTGGGACGTGCCAGTCCCAGTCCCAGAGGCCACGGAGGCCACAAAGGTGCAAGAAGACGAAGACTGGGACGTGCCAGTCCCAGTCCCAGAGGCCACGGAGGCCACAAAGGTGCAAGAAGACGAAGACTGGGACGACGGGGTGCCAACCTTCCCAGCCTCAAAACTTGGACTGGCTCGAGGGCAGGGAACGAGCCTCGGCGGGGCATAGAAAAAGACGGCGGAAGAAGACGACGATTGGGCACCTGTTGGACGACGAGTCGACCGGCTCATCGTCCAACAGGTACCTACTTGAAAAAAAAAAAATACCCTTTTTTTTTTGTAAAATAAACTTCATTAAAACAATTATGTGTATAATTTTCTCAACCAAAATCGAACCTTACAATTGCAATAGCTCTTTGGCCTCATCTTTATAACGTTCTAGTTCCTCAGCCGTAATGGCAGATGGTGTAGCACACCACGCATTTATCAGATGATTATCATTAATGGGTACAATTTCTAAAATGTGCTTTGTGATAGGTTTTCCTTCTTGCTTAGAAACATCGGCAAACGTATAGGAACCATTGGGATCTTTAATGTACAAGTGATTTCGTACTCTACGAAACTTATCATTCGTAGTAATCTTATTGGTCAAAGTGGAAGCTAATTTGACTATGCTCGCAATGGCGCTAGGCGAGAGAAGTTTATCATTGGCCGTTGCTAAAGTTTATGGTTTGGTCGCTAACAGTATTCTTAAAATTGGCCAAGCTGTGACGATATAATGATGCAATGGCTTCTTTAGTTTTTGGATAGCCAATAAACAGTCCATAACAACGTCTCTTTATCGCTGGCTCTATTTTACTCAACAAAAAAGACTATCTATGCTGTGCAATAAGTAAATCATTACTTTTTTTAAAAAATTTCAACATCGGTGTGTATAATGTGCAATAAAACTGAAGCTCAAAATATTACCAATCATACTTTAAACAAGAAAAATTTAGAATAATTACTCTTATAAATTAATCGAATAATTGTTCAACCAATAAATATTTGGAAAAATACTTTGTTTTGTAACTATACCCACAGTCCCACATCCTGGTCAGATAAAATAAAGGTAGGTCACTTTTGACCATGGTTGACCCCAAGAGCAGGATACCAATACCAATGGATTATTGATCGTATAAAAATACATTTATATTCTTTTCGACTATGGAAGGACGCTCTGCATAATAAAGATTTATCCATTTTGTATACAGGTTAAAAAATTATGGATATACATGAAATTTTTTCACTCAAGAATTCTCAAAATTAAAAAAAAAAATAACTTAGAACTATCACGTATGCTCATCTAAGGAAAGGGGTAGGATTATGAAAGAAAAGGAATATTAGTTGAAAACTTTTGTGTATGGCAAATTAATTTTAGTTTAATTCTTGATTAGAGAGATATCAAAAAAATTATATTGAATCTATGGGTGAGCAGAGACGTTTTTTTAAAAAAACTCGTCCGTAAACTGCTCTTTAAAAATGGTCAAGATTTCACAGAAAAAAAATCATGAAAAAAGTACCATAATATACAACCCATGAATGAGTGCAACATTCTAAGTAGTTTTGAAAATCTCGATTGTAAATCTCTCTGAAACCACCGAGAAAGCAGGTAAGATATTTACCCATAAATTTTCAAAAGGTATTGCAGAAAAAAAAACGGAACTTTAACGTAAATGGGTTAAGATGTAAGATTTATGTTGAACCGGGTCGAAATATTACCGAGCGTAGGTACCGCGAGGGGTTCAAAAATATGTGACGCCCTTTTTTGGTCCTATAAAATCTCCCTAAAATTTTAGTTCAGATACTTGTTGATCTTCGGTAAAGTTCTTTTTTGTATCTTGTTTTTTGTTTGATAATTTTGTGCAAATGTGTGATCCGGTAAGTCATTTAAATTTCGATGATGATTCACTTTCAAATTATTTTAATACTGTTGAGAACACTACTTTTAATGACTTGGATTTTGGTAACGTTTGTCAAGAACATGGGTTTGAAGAGTGTTCAAGTTGTTGCATAGATAATAATTTTTCAGATTTTTCCAACAATTCTCTACCAGATTCTCTTGATTATAATTTTTCAGATTCTTCTGACGTTAAAATTTCATATCGAAAAAAAGAAGTGAGTGTTGATATTTTTGAAAATTGAATTTCCAAACCCTCAGCATCCCAAGCTTTACACAATTCCACAATCAATACTTTGGATTTGATTCAAGAATCTAGCGACTCTTTTTTTTGATAGAACCATTTTACCAAATTTAGAACTTAATGATGAGATTCCAAACAAAATACACTTAACAGAAGATCTGAAAAATAATCAGGATCTTTCAAAATTTATTATTTTGAAGAATAAAACTAATTTTTCAACAAGTGACTTGAGGCAGTGTAGTTCGACAATTAAATCAATTATTTTTAATCAAATAAACTTGGACAAAATATAAAAGAAAATTTATTCAAACCTTATCAGAAATTGAAAAAAATTTAGACAGACAGAACTATCTGTTAGCCAATTTGTGTACCTATTTCTTTGAAAAAGAGAAGGGACATGAATAAATTTATAATATAAATCAGTCTGTAAATAAAATTAGTTTAGTAACCATGGCTTTTGTATGCACGCATTGCTTGAAAGAGTTGAACGAAAAAAAATGAAAAACACATTTTGAAAACGCGTGTAAAACCGAACGAACCTTCCAAAGTAGAAGCTTTCATAATTGATGGTAAGCAATAAAAATGTTGACGAACACTCCTGGAATGCACATTTGAAGACACTAGTATATTATATACCTAGGTAGAGAAGTTGGTCATTATACCGAAAGCTTTTATAAACCGAGGCGCGCGGCGCCGAGGTTTATAATGCTTGAGGTATATAATGACTTTCTCTACCGAGGAATATATAGATTTTTTTTTACTACTGCTAGTAGAAAATAAAAAAAAATTGTTTAAAATCGGTGTTCTAATTATTTTTTGTGAACGCCCTCTTGATAGTGCTGCCCTCTATCAACAGCTTATATAACTTCCTATGTACCTACAGAAACCTGTATTTTTTTCAAATTGACGTATGAAATTGAAATTGAACCAATAGAAACATTACAATATCCTTGCGTCATGACGTCATTTTCATTATTGACCTAGGTATTTTTTCATTATTCTCATTATTAACCTAGGGAGAGAAATTCAATTTTTTCTTAGAAAAATAGATTGAATAATGTCTATTTCTCAGTAGTGGAATAAAATCACTTCTCTAACTCGCTGTTTTCTGAGGGTGGGTGATTCCGAGGTATAACCAGATGAAACCTATATCATCTTGTAGAGGACACTTTGGGGCATAGGAAATGGGAATGTACAACTTTTTTTAATAGGACTGAACTTTGAAATCGGCCCTTAAACGTGACTGAGCTCGAATTTGAAAAACTATGTTTTTCTAAACCTTACCCGCTGTATTAATTTAAGCATACAATCTAAAATTCTGATTTTTTGCACACTTATACTTGATATATGAGCGCTTCTAATGACAGTTCAGAAATTTCGAAAAGGCTCAAGGTTTTTTTGTTGAAAAGTTAGGAATATAGAATTATCAAAATTGTGCATCTTAAACTTCACAAGCAGAGCAATGTGTATTATTGAAAATTTCTATACATATATATCGAATCAAATGTAGTAGAAACATTGACGAAGTTTTTAGAAAAAAAATTAAGGTGCTAACTTTAACGGTTATAGAAATATACATTTTTATCCAAGAGCCCTGGAGTGCGCCCAGCCCATCGTGAACCGCGTCGCGACGGAATTATTTGTGCATTCACCGAGAGGTGCATTTTCTGACTTTTCCAGTTTTGTGCGTTCGTATGCGAAAAACAGCTAAGTCTGATTTATTATCAAAGTTTGAACTATATTCCAACAGTCGCTTCTTTTCGAACTGATGTTAAACAAGGGTGTGACTAAAAAAAGCAACTTAGGCTACTTAAATCAAGAAAAAAAATCAAAGATCTCCCGTGGAAACCGCAGTCTTTCATTCAACATACTATCCGAGAAAATTCTTCATGAAAATACATTTTGCGGGAACTTGTGACGTCACACCGCCGAAATCATATCCTTCTGTTTTTTCAGTGGTTGAACCGTTCTCTAAACTTTAAGTGGTTGCAATTTGCTTTAAGTGAAATCGTTGACTTTTGTCTTGGAAAATTTTACACATATTTTAAGTGTGCCTCCAAAGCCAGTGTGACGTCACAGC